TCTCCCAGGAGGAGCCTCCGCAAAAAAAAGCTGAGGAGGATAGGGAGAATGCGCAGGGTATGGCGAACATGAGGAAAAAGAGACATGGATGAAGGATAACGAATCTCATTATCATAGCGTCGATGCCGGAAAAGGCAACAAGGAGTTATCGCTAAATTGTCGGCTTGATCTTCCTGCTATTCCGCCTGCAAACCAAACTTCAAGGACCAAGGTGCATGGCGCGAAGCGCCAATGCAGTCTTGTATATATATATATATACACATATTCCTCTTCCTATATTTTTATAAGCCCGGGCGGGGGGAAAACCCATCCCCCCCCCAAAAAAAAAAACAGACTCCCGGGATCTGGGGCTTTGGGACCCTCCGTAGGGGCCTCGAAGCGGCCCCCCTGGCCTCACAGGGCGTTTTGCCAAGCCTTCCCAGCACACCTAGGGCGATCAGGGGGGTCATCGGAGACGTCTCAGAGACCCCCATGACAGCGCAAGAGCGTTCCAAGAGTGACCGACGTGACCTCAAGATGGCCCAAGAGGCCTCCAGGACGGCCCCAAAGAGGCCTCCAAGAGCACTCCCAAGAGGCAAACATTATGGATTTTCTGGTAGTTTTTGGTGAATTTTGGGGTTCTCCTCTTTTCGGCTTCCCTACGCTCCAAGACGGCGGTCTTCTGGGCGTCCGAAGCCACCTGGGAGGCTCCAAAATCGCCCCACAACCACCCGAAAAGGCTTCCAGGCAGTCCAAGAGAGCCCCAAAACGGCACAACACGGGTCCAAGATGGCCCTCAGAGAGCCCCATGGCGGCCCAAGATGGCCCCAAGACACCCTCCGAAGCATTCCAAATCGTGACCCGGTCGTTCAGGGAGACCGCGGTTGGAGGCAGGGTGGCCCGAGGAAGCCCCCAGAGGCCCCCAGAATACGCCCAGGAGGCCTCCAGAAGGCCTTAAGAAAGCCTGAGACAATTTTTTTTAGGCCCCCAGAGGCTCTCCCAGGAGGAGCCTCCGCAAAAAAAAGCTGAGGAGGATAGGGAGAATGCGCAGGGTATGGGGAACATGAGGAAAAAGAGGCATGGAGGAAGGATAACGAATCTCATTATCATAGCGGCGATGCCGGAAAAGGCAACAAGGAGTTATCGCGAAATTGTCGGCTTGATTTTCTTGCTATTTCGCCTGCAAACCAATATTCAAGGACCAAGGTGCATGGCGCGAAGCGCCAATGCAGTCTTGTATATATATATATATATATTCTGTGGTGTGCGGGCGGCTCGTGGCGACCGAGCGCAGCGGCGAAGGGGCAGCGAGCTGGAAGAGGGCCAGCTGAGACGGCGGCGTCACTCTGAGGAGGAGGAGGAGGAGAAGGAGGAGGAGGAGGAGGAGGAGGGAAGGAGGAGGAGGAGGAGGAGGAGGAGGAGGAGGAGGAGGAGGGGAGGAGGAGGAGGAGGAAGAAGAAGACGACGACGACGACCACCACGACGACGACGAAGAATAATAATTATACCAATAAAAAGAAGAATAGTATTGATCGCAGGTGAGGGGGTGAGATCGATGTGGAACGGAGAGCCCCCCCACCGGGAAATCGATTTCGGTTTCGTGTTCGTGCGTGCCGTGCGTGCGGGCGAGGCGAAGCTGCGTGGGCGGGCGAGAGAAACTCTCCTGTGGCTGAGGCGCGGCCGGACCAAATGATTCCCTTCCGGGCGGCCGGGGCCCCGCGGTGTCCCGCCGGTGTCCCGCTGGTGTCCCGTGTGGCTGAGGCGCGGCCGGACCAAATGTCTCCCTTCCGGGCGGCCGGGGCCCCGCGGTGTCCCGCCGGTGTCCCGTCGGTGTCCCGTCGGTGTCCCGAAAATGATGTAGTTGATGATGATCATGATGGTTATGTTGATGGTGATGATGATGACGATGATGGTGTCCTGGTGATGATGATGATGTTGATGATGATGATGATGATGAGATGACGATGATGATGATGATGTTTCTGCCCGTTGTTGATGATGATGTTGGTAATGATGATGCTGCTGATGATGATAATGGTATCCCGATGATGATGATGATGATGATGATGATGATGATGATGATGATGATGATTATGACGGTGGTGATGATAATGGTGATAGTGATGTTGTGCCGATGATGATATTGATGATGATGTTGGTGATGATGATGCTGCTGATGATGATGGTGTCCCGATGATGTTGATGATGCTGTCGATGATGTTGATGATGATAATGAGCTGATGATGATGATGATGGTGTCCCGATGTTGTTGATGATATTGACGATGAAAATGATGGTGACCATGATGGTGTCCCGATGATGATGATGATGATGATGATGATGATGATGATGATGATGATGATGATGATGATGATGTTGATGGTGATGATGACGATGGCTGTGTCCCGATGGTGATAATGATGATGATGATGATGATGATGATGATGATGATGATGATGATGATGATTCTGATTATGATGAGATGATGATGGCGTTGATGATGGCATGATGATGATGGCGTTGATGATGGTGATGATGATGATGTGAAGATGACAGTGTCCCGATGACGATGGAGATGGTGGTGTTGTTGCTGATGATGATGATGATGATGATGATGATGATGATGATGATGATGCTGATGATGATGACGTTGAATGTTATATCGATTGTGATATCGGTAGTGAGATCGATAGTGAGACCGAATGTGGGATCGATTGTGAGATCGATAATCAGATCAATTGTGAGACCGAGCGAATGAGATATATCGAGTGAGATCGATTGTGAGATCGATCGAGTGAAATCGATCGAGCGAGACCGAGAGTGAGATGGATAGTGAGACCGATCGAGTGAGACGCTGCATCCTCCCCCCCGAACCTCCTTATCACCCGAAGGGTGGTCGTATAGGTAATATGTATAAGAACAATGAACATGCTACTCATGATTCTAATACTGATAGTAATGATAATCATAGGAATAAGAATGCGAACCGCAAGAATAATAGGGCTAATACTACTAAGAAGAAGCACAGTACTACTACTAAGATGACGAATGCTACTAATCATATTAATATTTACACTAATAAGCACAGTAATACTACTGAGACAGCGAATACTATTACGAAGCAGACTACGAATAATCACATCAATATTAATACTACTATTAAGACTACGACAAGGAGGAAGAGGAGGAGGGGGAGGAGGAATAGGAGGAGGAGGAGGAGGAGGAGGAGGAGGAGGAGGAGGAGG